GCTTTCTGTTTCGAGTGTAATAAATTTCTGGAATCTTAATCTATTAAATCATTGGTAAACTGGTATGATTACAAAGAAAAAAGAAGAGAGATGACAGATAAAGTAGCGAAAAGGAAGAGAAAAAAAAATGTATGAAGAAAGAATCGAGATGAAAGAAGATAGAAGAAAATCTAAACAAGATAGTCAAAAGAAAATATAAGAGAGAAGAAATAAGAGTGAAGAAAGAAGATAATCTAAAAAAGAACGACAAAAGAAGAGTCAAGAACGAAAATAGAAGAAAGAAAAAAAAATAGTAGAAGAAAAAAGAAAGAAAAAAAGATTAAAAAAAAATAGAGAACGAAGAAAGAAGAAAGAAGAAAGAAGTAAAAAGTAAGACAAAAGAAGAGTGATGAATGAAAAAAGATGAAAGAAAAAAAAAGGTAGAAGAAAAAAGAACGAAGAAAGAAAAACGAAGAGAAAGAGGAACGAAGTAAGGAAAAAAAATAGGAGAACGAAGAAAGAAGAATGAAGATAAAAGAAATACAAAAGAAGAGTGAAGAACTAAAATAGAAGATAGAGGAGTGAAGAACGAAAAGAGAAGAAAGAAGAGAGAAATAAGACATAATACATAAGAAAATCAAGACAAAAGAACGATATAAGAAAGAATAAAGAAGAGTGAAGAAAAAAGAAAATCTAAAGAAGAAAGACTAAAGAAGAGGGAAGAACGAAAAGAGAAGAAAGAAGAATAAAGAAAGAAAAAAATAGTAGAAGATAATAGAACGAAGAAAGAAGAGAGAAATAAGACAGAAGAAAATCAAGACAAAAGACGCTATAAGAGAGAATAAAGAAGAGTGAAGAAAAAAGAAAATCTAAAGAAGAAAGACTAAAGACTAAAGAAGAGAGAAGAACGAAAAGAGGAGAAAGAAGAATAGAAGAAAAATTAAAAAAAAAATATCTAAAAAAGAAAGACAAAAGAAGAGTGAAGAACGAAAAGAGATGAAAGAAGACCGAAGAACGAAGAATGAAAAAAAAGATATAAAAGAAAAAAGAACGAAGAAAGTAAACCGAAGAGAAAGAAGAAGGAAGTAAGAAAAAAAATAGGAGAACTAAGAAAGAAGAGTGAAGAATAAGAGAGAAGAACGAAGAAGGAAGAAAGAGACAGGAACGAAGAGAGAAGAAAAAAGCGGGAAGAATAAAGATATAGGAAGAAAGAAGTAAAAATATCGAAAAAGAAAGTAAAAAGAAAGAAAAAGGCAGAAAATAAATGAGAACCGTAATTTCATTCGATTTGAAAGAGATCTTGAAAGCTAATCTATTACATATGGAATGCCCTATCTCTCATGACACTGGAATTATATTTATTATCCTCAAGAACATTTTTGACATCATTTATGAATTCGTTTTTTCTACAACTCAAACATTAAAATATTTTAGCGGGACACCCAATAATGATACAAGTTTGCCAATCATGTTAAAGCTGGAGATTTCCCCTTAATTCATTACAATTGAAATATAATGCAAAAACCTTCGTTTACGTTATACTTGCATTTAGATATTCGTAAAAATGGGGTTATTTATTGAACACTTATTTCATGAAGATTATATGCAAAGTATTGCAGTTTTTAGAATCCAAAACGTAACTGGAAATAATGGTGGGAAGCATGGTAAGAATGTTTAAGTCCTTTTCTATGAACTCCTCTACAACGGTGCAGATTATAACTAATACGTCGTTCCTGCTATCGAATCACCCTTGATCAGGATAAGTTTAAATTAGTTTTCCATTACTTATAATGTACAATTTCCTGACTACTTTTAATTGAAATTAGTCTCTAGGCTAAGGTATATTTTCCTATAATTTGGTCATCCATGTAGGTCCATCAATCTTATATTTTCTCGGGGTTATATTCTGTGGGGTTTTTAGGTGCAGAGAGGGAAGTGGAGGGTGGGTCGGAAACGTCATTTCTTCTCTAAAGATCTTGAGGGTTGATATGGATTCATCAAGACTCTCATCAATTCGACAATTGTTATAGAAAAAGCACATATTAATTTAAATCTCGATGGTTGGTACAACACAAATATACCTAGACCAATAATTCTAATAACGTTCGATTTCCAAGACGGATCTAGTCAAAGCGTTAGCTTTTTGTCCTATGCTACGGCTATATAGATTAAAAGAGTCAAAAGTGTGTGGGAGTGGGTGGATGGCGGGATTCAAATTATCTCACGACTCTCAAGTATCACAAAAAAATTTTTTGATAGTATTTTGATAAAATATTTTATATCTATCCTCTTGGTTGTATTGAATTTATCTAGGCAATGAGGTGTTATTTTAGACATTTTTAATGAATTCAATTAATTCATGCCAAGACACCTCGGATAATTCTTAATTTTAGAATATTTTTTGATTAATATCTATTTTTAATATCAAATTTCGAATATTGGCAAAAGTTAATATTATATATATTGTCGAAGAGTAAAACCTTTATTCTTTTAGGGCAATACATATAATTTAGTAAATTAAATTTTGACACTTATTAACAAATATATATATTAGGCAAAGATTTATTTCAAGACAAAGGACTAGATAAAGAGATTGATATACGAGACCTTGACGATATTATTGATATGAGATAGAATAATGCAGAGATCCGAAAATTTAATCATCAAAGTGCCTATATTTAGATCATATGTTAATTTATAATATAAATGCTAAAATTTAAAATGATGTTAAAATTATTATAATGATCTATGAATTATGTAATAAATGATTTATAGTGCAGATCAATAAATTTCAAATAATTGACCATATTTTTCTTGTAAATTTAAATCATATGGACATGATGGCTAATTTTAAAAAAATTATATTTGACGGAGCGAGGAATTTAAAACTTAACGGGCATACACGGACTGGAGCTGATGAAGACCTCTATAACAATAATTTTCATATTAGTTATATTATTATTTAAAATTATTTTGTTTAATAATTAGTCATATTTATAAATAGTCACCTGATTTTATATATCACGTGTTAGAACTCGTGATTTCTTTGTTACAAAAAAAGGTACAAAAGGGACGAGATTTTATAATTATAATGACACTATGACTTTTTAACTTTTTTTTTTTGTAGATATATATTTAGACAATAAAATTTGGAGTTGAATTGAGTTGGTAAATTGTGTGAATTATTAAATAGCAGGAGTTGTTAAAAGATACTTTTTTAATGGATCTAGATACAGATACCACATTTTTATATTTAGATACTTTAACAACTCTGTTAAATAGCGTTGCTATGGTAGAGTTTTTATAGTAAATCAATTTCAAAGATTTGAAAGAAATTGGACATACTTGCAAAATTATAAATTTTTCTTTATTATTCTACGTATATTTTTTTTGATTTCGATTTATTAATTTTAAGTAGTGCTGTAAACGTTACTACAAAAAAGAAACGCGTTACCGTTACTCGTTACACCTGAAAAAAAGAACACGTTACCGTTACTCGTTACCTTTTTAATAAAGGAACGCGCGTTACCGACTATTCAAAAAAGTAACGTGTAACTCGTTACTTACAAAAATTAACAAAAACATAATTATTTTTTTCCGGCAATATATATTAAAGTATTATTATACAAAAAGAATATATATTATAAGGTAAAATCTTTTTATAAAAAAAATTTTCATATATAAAAATCAATTCTTCCAAATTACTCTCGAAAACAATGCTAATAAATCACGCTATGCTAGTATACCTTAACGCTCAAGCTTATTAAAATTTGGCGCCTTTTTTGTGATTCGCTGATAATGTTACCCTTTTCCACGAAAGATTTTGCGTCATTTCAAGTATATTAACCACTATTCTTAATTAATAATGGCCCAATCACGTTAGTTGTTAATTGTTCATTTTTATTTAAATATATTTTCTTAACGTCCATTTAATGAGCTAGATTATTATAAACAATTTCTTTGTCACTCAAAAACATGATGGCTTTGCTTATTTCCTTGTGTCGAATGATTTATTGAATTGTATGAAGCATTAAAATAATACTTTCTTTCATTTAACAATCCACCAATTACGACGCTCTCGCCCTCGCAGAATCCCGAAATATTGTCAAGTAGAGTTCCATAGACCCTTCTTTCTTATTCATACCCATCGCCTGCTCCATTCTTACCACCTTCGTTAGCAAAACTCAAAAGTTTTTTTAAAAAATTGGGCAAACGGATTCGTGACAAAAAACCGATCAGCCTAAGGAATCCCTCTTCTTACCGACAAAGACTTGCTTAGCGCCATAATTCGCTCTAACTATCTAGGTTTTATCTCTTCCATCGAATAACCTTCCATGTCTATGCCTACTCTTTCTCCTACTCATTCCTAGCTTCCTCTTTTTTTTATCCCTTATCCGTTTCCGTAATCTCTATTTTTATATTTTTCCCCTTTATTAATTTTATCTTAGAAAAAATTAATTATAGGCTATTACATTTTGTTAACATATTGTATCAGCTTAACCTATGATAGGAAAAAAAGAAGAAAAAAATTTAAAAACACAACTGAATAACATAAAAAAAATTTAATTAAGAGATCATCTTATTTAAAATTCTATTTGAAACCATAAATAGCAATGCAATTAATTTGATGAAAAGCCGTAATAGTTTGTTTTAAATAGAAAGCTTCATTATGATCACCACGTATTTGGTTTAATTTTCTTTCTATTAATGTTATAAATTTTAGGAAATCACCAATAGTATGATGACAAGAAAATATTTGAGATCGCAATATTTAATGCTCTGCATCTATAACTACTCAGAGCATATCTTCGAAAAAATATATGATTGAGGTTCTTACATGGATAATCAAATTATTTGAAGATCGACCTTTTCACTAGAGATTAATTGAAATTAAAACGAGCCACGAAATTGAATATTATAAGTATCGGGCTTCTAGTTTATATTTATCCTCATCAAGGGTAATTCGATACTAAGAAGGCGTATTGGTTAGAATCTAAACCCTTGTCGAAAAGTTAGTAGTAATGGGCTTAGAAGTTCTGGCCATGCTTTCCACTATCATATTCGGTTGCGATCCTTAGGTTCTAACAGCTTTCAAACTTGGCACATAATGTTCGTGTAATTAAGAATCTTTAAATAATGCTATTTTTTATAAATATCTATTTCCAAGCTTAACAAAATAACGAATATTTTATGTTTATTGCTTTCTGTTTCGAGTGTAATAAATTTCTGGAATCTTAATCTATTAAATCATTGGTAAACTGGTATGATTACAAAGAAAAAAGAAGAGAGATGACAGATAAAGTAGCGAAAAGGAAGAGAAAAAAAATGTATGAAGAAAGAATCGAGATGAAAGAAGATAGAAGAAAATCTAAACAAGATAGTCAAAAGAAAATATAAGAGAGAAGAAATAAGAGTGAAGAAAGAAGATAATCTAAAAAAGAACGACAAAAGAAGAGTCAAGAACGAAAATAGAAGAAAGAAAAAAAAATAGTAGAAGAAAAAAGAAAGAAAAAAAGATTAAAAAAAAATAGAGAACGAAGAAAGAAGAAAGAAGAAAGAAGTAAAAAGTAAGACAAAAGAAGAGTGATGAATGAAAAAAGATGAAAGAAAAAAAAAGGTAGAAGAAAAAAGAACGAAGAAAGAAAAACGAAGAGAAAGAGGAACGAAGTAAGGAAAAAAAATAGGAGAACGAAGAAAGAAGAATGAAGATAAAAGAAATACAAAAGAAGAGTGAAGAACTAAAATAGAAGATAGAGGAGTGAAGAACGAAAAGAGAAGAAAGAAGAGAGAAATAAGACATAATACATAAGAAAATCAAGACAAAAGAACGATATAAGAAAGAATAAAGAAGAGTGAAGAAAAAAGAAAATCTAAAGAAGAAAGACTAAAGAAGAGGGAAGAACGAAAAGAGAAGAAAGAAGAATAAAGAAAGAAAAAAAGAGTAGAAGATAATAGAACGAAGAAAGAAGAGAGAAATAAGACAGAAGAAAATCAAGACAAAAGACGCTATAAGAGAGAATAAAGAAGAGTGAAGAAAAAAGAAAATCTAAAGAAGAAAGACTAAAGACTAAAGAAGAGAGAAGAACGAAAAGAGGAGAAAGAAGAATAGAAGAAAAATTAAAAAAAAAATATCTAAAAAAGAAAGACAAAAGAAGAGTGAAGAACGAAAAGAGATGAAAGAAGACCGAAGAACGAAGAATGAAAAAAAAGATATAAAAGAAAAAAGAACGAAGAAAGTAAACCGAAGAGAAAGAAGAAGGAAGTAAGAAAAAAAATAGGAGAACTAAGAAAGAAGAGTGAAGAATAAGAGAGAAGAACGAAGAAGGAAGAAAGAGACAGGAACGAAGAGAGAAGAAAAAAGCGGGAAGAATAAAGATATAGGAAGAAAGAAGTAAAAATATCGAAAAAGAAAGTAAAAAGAAAGAAAAAGGCAGAAAATAAATGAGAACCGTAATTTCATTCGATTTGAAAGAGATCTTGAAAGCTAATCTATTACATATGGAATGCCCTATCTCTCATGACACTGGAATTATATTTATTATCCTCAAGAACATTTTTGACATCATTTATGAATTCGTTTTTTCTACAACTCAAACATTAAAATATTTTAGCGGGACACCCAATAATGATACAAGTTTGCCAATCATGTTAAAGCTGGAGATTTCCCCTTAATTCATTACAATTGAAATATAATGCAAAAACCTTCGTTTACGTTATACTTGCATTTAGATATTCGTAAAAATGGGGTTATTTATTGAACACTTATTTCATGAAGATTATATGCAAAGTATTGCAGTTTTTAGAATCCAAAACGTAACTGGAAATAATGGTGGGAAGCATGGTAAGAATGTTTAAGTCCTTTTCTATGAACTCCTCTACAACGGTGCAGATTATAACTAATACGTCGTTCCTGCTATCGAATCACCCTTGATCAGGATAAGTTTAAATTAGTTTTCCATTACTTATAATGTACAATTTCCTGACTACTTTTAATTGAAATTAGTCTCTAGGCTAAGGTATATTTTCCTATAATTTGGTCATCCATGTAGGTCCATCAATCTTATATTTTCTCGGGGTTATATTCTGTGGGGTTTTTAGGTGCAGAGAGGGAAGTGGAGGGTGGGTCGGAAACGTCATTTCTTCTCTAAAGATCTTGAGGGTTGATATGGATTCATCAAGACTCTCATCAATTCGACAATTGTTATAGAAAAAGCACATATTAATTTAAATCTCGATGGTTGGTACAACACAAATATACCTAGACCAATAATTCTAATAACGTTCGATTTCCAAGACGGATCTAGTCAAAGCGTTAGCTTTTTGTCCTATGCTACGGCTATATAGATTAAAAGAGTCAAAAGTGTGTGGGAGTGGGTGGATGGCGGGATTCAAATTATCTCACGACTCTCAAGTATCACAAAAAAATTTTTTGATAGTATTTTGATAAAATATTTTATATCTATCCTCTTGGTTGTATTGAATTTATCTAGGCAATGAGGTGTTATTTTAGACATTTTTAATGAATTCAATTAATTCATGCCAAGACACCTCGGATAATTCTTAATTTTAGAATATTTTTTGATTAATATCTATTTTTAATATCAAATTTCGAATATTGGCAAAAGTTAATATTATATATATTGTCGAAGAGTAAAACCTTTATTCTTTTAGGGCAATACATATAATTTAGTAAATTAAATTTTGACACTTATTAACAAATATATATATTAGGCAAAGATTTATTTCAAGACAAAGGACTAGATAAAGAGATTGATATACGAGACCTTGACGATATTATTGATATGAGATAGAATAATGCAGAGATCCGAAAATTTAATCATCAAAGTGCCTATATTTAGATCATATGTTAATTTATAATATAAATGCTAAAATTTAAAATGATGTTAAAATTATTATAATGATCTATGAATTATGTAATAAATGATTTATAGTGCAGATCAATAAATTTCAAATAATTGACCATATTTTTCTTGTAAATTTAAATCATATGGACATGATGGCTAATTTTAAAAAAATTATATTTGACGGAGCGAGGAATTTAAAACTTAACGGGCATACACGGACTGGAGCTGATGAAGACCTCTATAACAATAATTTTCATATTAGTTATATTATTATTTAAAATTATTTTGTTTAATAATTAGTCATATTTATAAATAGTCACCTGATTTTATATATCACGTGTTAGAACTCGTGATTTCTTTGTTACAAAAAAAGGTACAAAAGGGACGAGATTTTATAATTATAATGACACTATGACTTTTTAACTTTTTTTTTTTGTAGATATATATTTAGACAATAAAATTTGGAGTTGAATTGAGTTGGTAAATTGTGTGAATTATTAAATAGCAGGAGTTGTTAAAAGATACTTTTTTAATGGATCTAGATACAGATACCACATTTTTATATTTAGATACTTTAACAACTCTGTTAAATAGCGTTGCTATGGTAGAGTTTTTATAGTAAATCAATTTCAAAGATTTGAAAGAAATTGGACATACTTGCAAAATTATAAATTTTTCTTTATTATTCTACGTATATTTTTTTTGATTTCGATTTATTAATTTTAAGTAGTGCTGTAAACGTTACTACAAAAAAGAAACGCGTTACCGTTACTCGTTACACCTGAAAAAAAGAACACGTTACCGTTACTCGTTACCTTTTTAATAAAGGAACGCGCGTTACCGACTATTCAAAAAAGTAACGTGTAACTCGTTACTTACAAAAATTAACAAAAACATAATTATTTTTTTCCGGCAATATATATTAAAGTATTATTATACAAAAAGAATATATATTATAAGGTAAAATCTTTTTATAAAAAAAATTTTCATATATAAAATTATTTATAATATATATATGAAATTTTACAAAAATAGTATATTATATATAAGATACATATTTTTGTAAAAATTTATTATTTATTTTTAACAATTGATTTTTAAAATTTAGATCTGACAAACAAGAGCGCTTAGTGTTTAACATAGCTTTCGCCGTGCTAAACACACGTTCAATTGGCGCAGAGGATGGTAGAGTAGTATTATATTTAATAAATAAAGATTTCGGGGAATTTATTAAAAATATTTAAAGAAGTATCTTTATTTTGAAAAAAACTTAGTAAATCATCTTCCATCAAAAAAAAATTTATCTTTATAAGAAATAATTCTTGTTTGTGTGCTGGATAAAGTAATTAAGTCTCCTCTTTCTTTATCAATATCTTTTCTCAAAGTGGAAATAAGATCTTGCATTCTTTCTTTGTTGACATCTAATTTTACCCAGGGCCAATCCAATTTAAAAAGCGGGTGAATTATTGCTGCTAGTATATATTCATCTTTATAGATGTGTTTGAATCTATTGAAAATAAAAGATAATAAAAATATAAATTATAAGCAATATTTTAACTGTATACCGCTTATTAATGCCTTCTAGGATTGAATTAATAAGCGGCTTACAATACTTGAAATTATTTAAAGCCATTTTTTAAGTTTTGATATTATAATAGTTTTTGTGGGGGTGAGATATCAATGCATTTTATCTTCGCTCTCTAAAATTGAAAGAGCCGTAGCAATCGGTTCCATAACCTATAAAATCATATATAAACATATCATATTTCTCAATTAACACTAACCCTACAATATTCATCCATGAACGACTTCTCGTTATCTAAAAATCTCTGTAATTCAGATTTATCACAAGATTCATTAAATTTTTGACAATTGTCCTTAATAAAACTATTTATTAATTTCACGGAGTTATAAAAAGAGTTCCACCTTGTTATCACCGGTTTAATTAGATATCTTCCCATGTTTTCTTTAAAAATAGCAGCACAGTTAGGTGATTGCCCATGTTTATTCCACAATATCTTACAGAAAATGTAATTTTTGAAATGGTTTTAAAATGCACATCGTTGAGCGCCCTTTCAATATCAACACTTGCAATAAGATTTAAAGTGTGTGCTGAACAGGAATGATGTTTAGGTAAGTATATAATACTATCATTATTATTTTGATTTTCAAATAAATCAAATAATGGCAGAGGAACTATTTCATCATCCGATTCCTCTCCTTGTTCATATACCCTAATAAATTTTTAATAAATATATTATATAATTTATTTACTTGAAAGCTTTAATATAATTTCTAGCATTATCTGTAATGCATTTGGTCACTTTATTTTGAATCCTATATGTGGTAATAATTTCAAAGATTATTTTTGCTAGATAATCATATGTGTGTTTCTGGTTTAGCCTTCTACAAGCTAAGCAGGCTGAGACCCTCTCAAGAGTGTCTGGGTGTAGCCAGTGTACCGTCATCCCTAAATAAGAACTTTTTAAAAAGACAATATTATTAATCTCTAAAATATATATTTTATATACCGATGATAAGCTGACCAAGAATCCACAGTTGTACAGACAATTTTTGGGTTACTCAACAAATCAACTAATTTATTTGACATGGTGTCATATGCTTTCTTAATTTTTAGTACTAAGGTAGGCCTAGACATTACATTTTTAGTTGGTTGCAATTTTTTGATAATATTAATAAATGCATTGCTTTCTACAATTGAAAAAGGTTGTAATTCTTCAATTACAAAATTAAAGACTAATTCATCAACAGTTGATTGTGCTATATTTGTTTTTGATGTAGATGGATTCTGCATCTCAATGAGTGTGTTGATTGGTTTCAATTTTTTTTTTATTGCTCAAA